CAGTATTATACAATAATACTGTTCCGGCTTACGTACAAATTTGACTTAAGGACAGACCTTGAGAACAGAACCCATTCTTAAACTGGGGATTACCTGTATAAACATTGAAGAATTACCCAGATTTGCTCAGTGTGGGGAACAGGATATCAGAATCATAGAATGTAAGGCTTGGAAAGGGACTTTGCAGATCATTTAGTCCAACTTCCTGCCCAGTGTAGAGATCCAATATGATAGCATCTCCAGTCATCCAGCCATCTTGCCTCTGTTTAGTGCCTCCCATTGAAGGGGAGTCCACACTTCCTAAGGCAGACTGCTCCATGGTCTTTTACTCCCCTTTCCAAATACATCCACATAGTCTACATATTTGATAGGCAAGGTAGAGAGTTCCTGCTACAGGATGATGATTAGTGTGGATCTCCAGGCTGTTGAGTTTTGCATGCCAGGGAATAAAAAATGATGTTATCCTGGTTCCACTAACTATATGGATTGTGTTTCTGAAGCCACTTCACTCCCACGGTTATTGGAAAATGTAATGGAGGACTAAATAAAGTTGCAGGGTGTTAGGATGATGTTTATTTTTACCTTTTGGGCATAAGCTGATATAAATATGTAGGAGTTTAGTATTAATATATCACTTATAGTAATGTACATATCTTGGGATAGTTTCTATTTACTTCTGTTTGCAAATTCATTCAAGAACTTAAATAAAAACTAACGCTCATATTTTATCTCCACAGGGAATTGTGGGGAATTTAGCTAGTGGTAAATCTGCTCTTGTACATCGTTATCTGACTGGGACTTATGTCCAAGAGGAATCACCAGAAGGTAAAATGATTGATACACTTTTACAAGCATGCTTTCTTAAACCAGGGATGGACAAAAGTTGCAGGGAATTACCAAGTATCATGCAAATAAACAGGACTGAGATTTCAGGAGTTTGGGGTGAATGGTTCAGGTTAGGTGTTTTATTTTAAGCCTATGCTACAGTTTACACACCATTTTATTAAATTTATTCCACACTAATTGCTGAATTAGCTTGATAACTTTTATTTTGTTTAGTCTCTCCTTCTGCTAATGAAGGGAAATCATACTTCTATTTATCTTGGGTTTGCTGCTGAATCTCAATTTGCTCTGATTTTTAATTGTTGGCGTGCAGCCTGTTGATTGTGGATTGTCCACCCCTATTTTAACATTTACACTGGGTGTTAACAATAGTCAAATATGAAATATTAGCATACAAAGTAAATTGCATGTGAATTGAAAATGCATTTCCCATGCTTACCTATATGTATTCTTAAAGAGATCAAACTAGTAACATACCTTGTTTAATATAATTCATCTTGACACATGAGGTCTTAAAACTATCAGAGCCAACTAGAATGCATGGTCTTTTCCAGTGAATCTCAGGGATAGGCAACCTTTTTGAAGCTGTGAGCACATTTGGAATTTTGAAAGCATTTCAGGGAGCCTCTCTCAAATAGGCTGCTATTGGGGAAAGGGCCTGGCTTATCCATAAAATGGTAGATAGGTACACTTTGTGGGATAGAGGGTATACTTAGAAATAAAACACTGAGCTGCAGCCACCAAAATGCCTAAAGGAGGGCTTAAATGGAGCCCAGAGGTTTTCCTTAAATAGAAGTGATGTTTAAGGTTTTTGCTTTATAATATAAAAATGTCCAATATTTGTTTGTTTATTATTCATTAATTGAAATAATTTTAAGAAAAAGTCAGGTGGGGCAGTGAATCTGGTAAGTACCAAAAGAGGTATCTGGAAACCCATTGGTGTCCTCAGACTTTATTTTTACCTGCCTCTGCTGTATATCTTTCTCAGCCAAAAAAACATGTCTGATTTTACTTACGAATTTACTTGCAACTGTGTGAGCAGTAAATTCATTTGATGCAGAATTTGCCTCTGGATGACTTGTCAGATTATCAGTACCAGTTATAATTATATTATTGTGAGATATAAGCACTATAATCTTATGTTTATTCTCTGATATCTGATATCATGAAACATTCAAAGATATATTTTGCATGTAGCTTCTTCCCTTAGTTATTATATCCAGTATGAATCATAGTAACATCTATTTAAGGTGCCATTCATTAAAATTAATATCTTGATTATTTGTATTTGTTCTCCTTATGAACTTTTAAATCCACCTGAGACACTGAATTTCTGGTTCCTTCTTTTCCTTACTGGCTGTTCCATTCTTTGCAGATATGGATGCAGGTAACTATATGTCCTCTTCATAGCAGCTCTTGTTTTGAAGACAGGAAGCAAAGCTTTTGTATTATTTCCCCTTTGTGTACCATTTTGTTTTCCATTTAGTTTTAAGTTAAGAACACATTTCACTGTTGTTACATGCTGTGGATGTCTCTTAGCAATAGTCATGTAGATCATGTGTGTGTAGCAGCATTTGCTTGAAATTACCATTTTTAGGGTGTTCGTTAAGTTTGTGTGCTAACAATATTTGGGGTAGCAACAAATAGCATTTGTTTTTAATTCAGGGGCAATTTTTTTTTCTTTCTAACTCTGAAACCTCTTCTTGAGAATGAAATCAATGATTTCATTGGATAACGTCCAGTGCTTATCCAATTTCATTGGATAACGTCCAGTGCTTATCAGTGGCTTCTGCTGTTTCAGGCAGGCATGCCACAAGCAGTTTTCACATACCGTTGAAGTATGTTTTGTTTATGTATCAGTTATCATTAATAACAGTTATGCATGGAACAAAATGAAATACAAATAAAATTTACCACAAAAGAACTGAGACCAAATCCATTGTAGCTAAGTTCAGATAATTTAAGTATAGGTAGTCCTTGGTTAATGACAGCAGTTGGGACCAGAATTGCCATCGCTAAGTGACATGGTCTTAAAGCATGATTCATGTGACTGTGCTGCTTAGTGATGGCAATTCCAGCACTCCTGATTGCCACCGTTAAGTGAATCACCATAGATCATTAAGCGAGGATGTCACATGGTTGCCATTTGCGACCTCTTGCTGACTTCCCAGCAATCACGTCACCGCAGGGATACTGCGACGGCTGGAACTCCAAGGACTGGTTGTAAGTACCATTCGTTCAGTACTGTTGCAAGTTTGAATGGTCGCTGAACAAGTGGTCATTAAGTGAGGACCACCTGTACATAAGGCTATTTTTAAAATTGGGATTTAGTATAACAATTCTATTACGCTAAACTAGTACAGCAGTACATTGGAAAAAAAGTGCAGTTCATTCCATCTTCAAGTTCCTTATTCAAATGAGCTGCATTTTTTACTAGGGCTACTTCTAGTATGGGGAATTTTGGAGGTCTGGATCGCATGGCTATCCCCATTAATTGAAAGAATTTTACCTATTTAAATATAACTGAGTAAGTAAATACTTGATGTTTGCATTAAGATGTTCATCTGGAAAATCATTCTAAATTTTAGATCACTGCATGCTTTTTTACCTTCTGAAATGAAAGAAGCCTATGACAGAAAAATAAATTGAGGTGTAAGCTAAGGTTTTAAAAGTACAGTGTTATTCATGAGTTTGAGAAACAGGTTTGGTGTTAAACCAAACAAATTCTGATTTGAACTGCTTTGAGTGTAAAACTTTGAAAAACTCTGCTTGTAGTGCAAGTGGGTTATTTTAAGTATTTTGGAAGCGTCTGACACTTGGAACAGTTCTGCTTCATATGAGAACACTGTTCAAAGCTCAAAGTGCTTCCAAAATATTCAAAACTATTTCTTTCAAGCTTGTAGCAACAATTTTCTTCTTGAAATGGGAAGTTTTGTTAAAATTCACACTTGAAAGAGTTTGAAATGAAACATTTTGCATGCCCCTAGGATATATTACTGGGATAAATAAAATTGATGTCCAGATTTATATTACACGGTCTGCAAGCTTCTGTGGTATAGTCCCTGACAAAGTTGATGGTACTTTTTATCTATTTGGAAATACCTCCATGTTAAAAAAAATATACCATTAACACCTAAATATTTTAGTGTGGAAGGTACATGACATAATTGTTTTACAGTTTCAGATCCTCTTCAGGTTATCAGGTGCGCAGTGAAAAGTGAGGATATGATTGGTAGTGATTCAGTAGAATTACTTAGAATATATAGGCTTGGTTTTGAATATTCTGTGTTAAGGAGATTAATGAAACTAATGTGGGATGGGGAGGGAAGAGTTTTGTATCACCATAATTTCAAGGAATGATGTTCCATTTGCATTGGACTTTCTGCAAGTCATTGCAATGGTGCACAGCTGTTGACTGCAGCGATAACGTTTCCTGAAATGGAGACAATATTTTTGGCTGAAGCAGGACATTGAAAAAAAAAATCTTATATATTCTCTACCATAGCAATAACCTTGGTCTTTCCATTTAACGTATTTACTCATACTGAGAAATGTGTGGATTTGAGAAAGTGTGCTATATGTTTCTTGATTTAGAAAAAGCATATGATGAAGTGAATAGTCTTGAATTATAAATTCTTTTTTTGAATATGGAGTTGAAAGTTGGATATTAAATCCAACAAGTGGGACATTTATTTATTTGTTTGTTTATTCATGCATGCATTACATTTGTTACATTACATTTAAAGCCCTACATGGCATGGGGCCAGGTTACCTGAAGGACCGCCTCGCCCCCATGATCTCAACCCGTCCCACCCGATCTCACAGAGAGGGCATGCTCCAGATCCCTGTGGTAAAAGAACTTCGACTAGCGGGATACAGAAGGTGGGCCTTCTCTGCTGTGGCCCCCGCCCTTTGGAACATCTTGCCCCCGGAGGTGAGACAGGCCCCCTCATTCCCGGCCTTTCAGAGGGACTTGAAGACCTGGCTCTGC